CTGTTGGTTCTCCATTATTAGTCATTTCAATTAATGAATGCTTCAGTGCTTACTGATTCTTTATGTTTTCTATCTCCATTTTTATGTTTTCTATCTCTTTGCTGAAATTCTAAGGGAAGAATTCTACTCTTCCCCTAAGTTCAGTGCATGTCCTTAAAACTAGTGTTTTAAACTTTGTATCTGTAGATTGATTGTCTCCATTTTGCTTAGTTCTTTTTCTGGAGATTTGTTCAGTTCCTTTATTTGGGACATGTTTTGTTGTCTCCTCATTTTGCAGCCTACTTGTGTTTGTTTCTATGTATTAGGGAGAGATGCTATGTCTCCCAGGCTTGGTAGAATGGCTTTATGTAGTAGGTGTCCAATAGGGTCCAGTGGTAGAGCCTCCCTGATACTTGAGCTGAACATTTCAGGTGCACCCCCCATGTGGACTGTGTACACATCCTGCTGTAGTGGAGCCTTGACTGCTGTTGATACCTCAATGGCAGGGATTCATCCCCAGATCAACAGGCTGTGAGAACTGGCTATACCACTATGAAGGATTAGCTGTGCAGGGGCCAACCCCATAGAGAAGGACTTACATTAGCAGAGCTCTGGGGCCTAATCAGTCTGCCCCTTGAGTGTATCTGTTATGGAGGTGGTTGGGTGGTGCTTCGACATGGTCTGAAGCAATCCAAAGGGTACACTGATTCTGGGGCCTCCTGGGAGGTACAAGCTAAAGTCAGCCTCTAACTGTGTCCTGTCCAAGGCCATCCAGCATGAGCTATAAAGTGATCTGCAGATGGCTGCTATTTGTACTAGGTTTGAAATTCCCAGGAGAGGCCAAGCTGTGAACTGAGGTCAGCTGCAGCTAGTGCCAGACCTGGGGCCACTTAGCAAGTGGTATGGGGCATGCCAAGGCCAGATGCTGCTTTTTTAAAGATTTTAGGAAAGTTCAAGGCATGAACCAAGACAGACCATTGTATGGAAAGGCCACTGGAAACAGCTTGGGTGGTCCCAAAAGTTGGGTGGGGCAAGGTCTCAGGTCACCAGGGAAGAGAAAACAGTATGAGCCAGATTCTTGGAGTCTCAGATACGGCATCCACCTGCCAGTTCTGTGTAGGGAGGACTCAGCAAAGGAACTATGGCCTCTCAGCACTTCTGTCTGGGGAAAAGTTGCACCTCCAGCTTTTGTCCTGATGCCAAACAATTAAGTTCTTTCCCTGGTGCCTTTCAAGCTGTTTCTTCAGTGCTTGAGCTCAAGCAAGTGAGCCCAAGTAAGTCTGTGTGTGGGCCCTTTAAGAGGAATACCTGGTACTCCAGAAGCCCTCCATCTCACTCAGCCACAATCCTCCCTGGTTTTTACAGTCAAAAGTTATAGGGACTTCTTTTTTTGGCACTGAAACCCTGGGCTTGGGGAGCCTGATGGGGATCTGGAACCTCTTGCTCCTCAGAGGTGACTTCCAGAGTTGAGATTTTTAACTGCCACACAAGGGTAAGGGACCAGCCAGGTCCAAGTCTCCACCCCTCCTACCAGTCTCGATGTGGCTTCTTCTTTATATCCTTAGTTGTAAGACTTCTGTTCAGCTAGATTTCAGGTGGTCAGGCTGTATATTACTTATTTCCATTTACCAAGAAATTAACCCAATGTCTAACATATAACAGTAATATAGAGAAAATTTCATATATGCATCAATTGCTCACCAAAAATGAAATAAAGTTTTTACTATCTATCAGGTATAATATAATCACATACATCTAACCATATGTTTAAGGAATCTAATGGGCAAGGTTATAAATTTCATTCTTCCCTAAAGTAACGCTACTGCCAAACCTGTATTACTCCATCCATTGGATTTTTAAAACTCTTCCCATCAGAAAACTCAACCCAAGAAATCACTCTGTTCTTTCTTATTTCTCTCTAGAATGTTTTGGACTCCTAAACATTGATTTGAACACCAAACTTCCTATCCCCCAATTCAGAGAGAAGCACACCTCCCATAGGCTCTATTGACACCCAGGGCCATCACCCCAATTATAACTGGGGCTTTACCTGTCAGCAAGTGGCAAGAATCAGGCATAAACATAACTCAAAAATAGTTCATCACTGATGCACTAGATGGGAACTGACAACACTTCTGTCATCAGAAGTAGGTTATAAAAATTATTACCTTTCCTTGTCATTAGTTTTATGAACTGTTCCCAATAATGAGCTGAATCATTCCTTCATGCAGAAAGGGATTAAAAAATCAATATTGTAACAGTCAGAGGCAAAGAGACAGGGCAGACGTGCACATTAAATGTCAAAATACACTCAGCCAACTCAAAGGAAATTCTTCAGAAAAGGCTATAGGTTCAAGAGTGCAGGGCTTGAGGACACTGGTCAGAGTAGCCACCGAGAACAAATGGGCAGCCAGCTCACTTGGACAGCAACTGTGACTGGTCTGCCTCGGGGTGAAACCTGGCCTCCTTGCAAGGAGGGTGTGCTGTGATCCTAACACCCTTAAGTGTCTGCCTTGCAGGCTCCTCTAATCCTTGCATCTGGAAGATGCAGATAAAGAAAAAAAAAATGCTCTATGCTTCTGTTGAGGTTCTTCTCTCCAATTTTCTCCTCCTATTTAAATCCTCCAAAGTAGTTTGAAATTATCTCCACTATAAGCATATGCTAACCAAGACACCAAAATGGAAGTGATAGCTAAAGCTTCATTCAGCATTTAAGTAAGTACCTTCTGCCCCTACTGACTTATAGAACAGGGTCTAGTACTAGTTTCCCTTCTCTGTTCTCACTGAGTATTGAATATAGTTGTAAGCCTTTAAAACTGGGCTCTGCATCTGCTCTAGCACCAAGCAACAGAAACCAACTCCAGCTAACTGAAGCAAAGAAGAATTGATGACAGGCTACCAGCAGACAATCTAATCCTCAAGAAGGCAGGAAGACCAGACAGAAACTAAGGGCAGCCTCACAGGATGAAGTCTTGGTCAGCCATGCAACAAACAACCCCACCCTGGCTTCCTCACTCACCCAAAATTACAAGTCCCTGAAGAGTGAATGTGACTGGCTGCCCTTAGGCCCTGGGCCCAGATCTTACCTGTATTGTGGCTGGGAAGGGGGGGGGGGGTGGAGATCTAGCTTCCATAGAGAAAGTTGGGCATTAGAAGTACAATCCCAGTAAGATAATACAACATCAGGAAACAAGTAAGTTCCCAAAAGAAAACAGGCACCAAATGCATGAAGAAATGGATGCTGAACAATCAAAAAACTCAATGGAAAAAATATCCTCGGGTGAGAATTAACCAAAAAAGGGAGAGGGATGCCTCCAAAAGCAATTACCAAACATCTTCAAAACAAAGGAAGTCACTTGCTTCACTATTCCCTGGGAACTCTGGTTCGGAAGAGCATTATCCATCCAGAGATTTGGGGGCAGGAATCAAGTAAGGATGTTATCTCCTTTACTCTAAAGTTATCCTTCATTTAAAAGAACCTACACACTTGTACTGAAGGTCATTTATGTTGCTTCCCACTTGTACAGGTTCTCTTCCTGGGACAGTCTTGAGGGAGCAGGGCCCAGCTCTCTCCTTTGTAGGTGAAGAAGGGAAGCTGTGAATTCCCTTTCTCTATAAGTAACACATTCCAGGTAAGAATAAAGAGTTAACACATTTAGAAGCTGCAATTTCCCAGGCTAGATGACTACCCTAGGAGGCCAACCTTTTTTCCTCATGCCATACTGATTAAATCTTCATCTCCAGAACCAGGGTCCTTTTGACTTGGTTTTCAGGCAACCTGGAGAGGGTTTCAGACAACCTGCCTGCCCCTCAGAGACTAACTGCGAGCACCTCTAAATCTGTGTTCTCACCTGTTTCTCTCTACATTAATTGATTCTTCACCAATATGCCACGGGGTTTTAAAAACACAAGTCAAATTATATTGGTATGAACTTCTGGGAATCCTCTTCAGTTTCATAGTTGCCTTGGGCTATATTGTGGGTTAACGATTTAAGGTGGCCAAGGTTTTCTCTAATCTGTCTTCACACCTCGCTCACTTCTTCTCAGTGTCCCATCACCCCCTGGATATCCACCTATTTCAGCCTAGCTTCTCCCTCAGCCTGAGGGCTCCACATTGCTTAAGGCTGAGGTCAAATGCCATCTCTTCCACCAGCAGTTGGCACCACTGCCTTTGCATTCCCAAGCATATTATCTTTACCTCAATTTCACATCTAATGTAACCAATTTGGGCTTTTTCAAAGTTTTTGATGTAAGTTTGTCTTCCCCACTAGACTGAAAAGTTCCCAAAGGAGAGAGTCCTACATTGTTCATATTTCCCAGAGGGCCTAGTTCAACTAACATTTCTTATGTAACTACTGCACACTTTGACATCAGTGCACTTACAGCAGAATGAGTCCTAACTAATAGACTCCCATCAGTTAAGTGTATTAATAACAATAACAGCAACAATAGCACACATTCATGATCTGCCAGGGAGCACTAAGCCCTGCAGTTACTTATCACCTCCACTGATCCCTTGGGCAATACTGTGTCAGACACCCTGATCCTTGACCAAGGCAGATGGACATGAGAGGATATGCCCATGCTAACAAGTAGGGAGCTAGGATTCACACCCAGGCTGCCTAACTCTACAAGCTTAACATCTCATTTATGACATGACCCCAAGACCCAGTCCTCTCCCTTCACACCATCCTGGCACACATTCCACTGCCACACTTATACCTGTCAAGTTTCAGAGCAGAACCAGGCCATCGAATGATCCAGCTCTTACACTATAGTTCTGGGGCCCCACAGACTGAAAACAAGACCAGAGGTAACAAAGCATATCAGTACCAGAACAAGAGTTATAAGAACTCAAAATCCTGGTCCCTAAAAATACACCCTTTCCACAAAGGAGACTCAAATAACATCAGATGGACAACCTGAGTCCCAGGCTTCAGACAGATCAGGTCCCAGGCCTGACCTCTGCTTCCCTGTATTGCTAGAGCATAAAAGGCCAGCTCAGGAAGATTTGCACTCACCAGCAGGGCTGACTTCTGCTTCTCCTGGTCAATGCTGTCCTCCCCTCGGTGCAGGGATGCACTCCAGTGCTTCATGGTTGCCTCTCTTTCCTTCATCGCCACCTGAAACGGCTCATTCTGCTTTTGTTTATACCTGTGCCAGGAGAGACATGGGAGAAACGGGTGCAGATATAATGACGTGGCAGAAGGTAGCCAAGAAAAAGTTTATGTACTCACTTTAGCTGGCCAGGGGACTGGGATCTGTGGGCCAATAGAACTCTGAAGTTGATCTCTTAGAGGTCAGGCATCAGTGACAGTCCCCAAGGCAAGGGGATACAGTGACACTTTAGAACAATATAGACTAATTAGGAACAGAAGGAAAGATGACCACCAAGTGAGGAATCAGGCAGCCATATGCCAAATGAAAGATTCTTGGGGCAGAATTTCAATCCCTCACTAGCCACTCTTTCAAAGTGGGTCAGAAGGTGGAAAGCCCACCTTCCCTGCCTCCACTTGAGAACTTGAAGGTTTTTAGATAATAGCAGCCCTTTGCTTTGAACATGTAATTAATTCTTCATTCTGAATCTGTTCCTAACCTTTGACCTCCTTCTGGGCTTTCTTTCCAGTAAAATAATCCTAAAGAGAGAAAAAAGTTACTATAACTAAGATGTTGTTAGTATTATTTATCGTAGTATAAAAAATGCAAACAACTGAAATGTCTTTTAACTTGACCTTGACTGTTGGACATCTGGTATAATCACATAATGGTATACTATATCATCATTAGAAAATACATTATTTTACTTGTCTATAGGTTGAATCTAAAAATTGAGAACCAATAAACTACTTTTACCAATAAAAATGTTTACAAAGCAGGAGTAACAAATCAAAAAATGTATAATACTAAGTGAAAACAGCAAAATATAAAATTATGTATGACTGAAACAATAATCCTAAACTAGAGAAAAGAACACATTTGAAAGAAACACTCCAAAATACTAATAATGGTTGTCTTGAAATGACAAATCTATAGATGTTTTTTTCATTTTATATATTTTCTAAATCTTTCATTAGCATGTATTACTTGATCATTTTTTAACTGTTTAAAAGTACCAAAAAAGGGGGTTCAGGTTAGTTGTTCTTAAAGAGGCCTCTTAGAATTAGTGAGGTAAAATTCTTAGACCCACATGGCTGAACTACTAGAGGGAGAAAACCAACTGTGGCCCACACTGCCCCTCCTAAACAAACTCACTTGGTCTTTTGACACAGAGACCAGTGTCTCAAGGGTGTTGAAGAAGTTGATCAATAACAACTACAGTTAATATTCACTGAGAACTCTGTGCCAGGCACTGTGTGTGCTCTTTATATGCATTAACATATTTCATCATGACAATACTCCAATGAAAGAGTTACTCAAACTATATCCTTCTCAGAGGCTTAGAGAGATGCAGTGATTTTCAGGGTCACATTACCAGTAAGTTGCAAAATCAGAATACAAAACTGCATTCCAGGAGAGCTTCCATGCTTTAACCAATGTTCTACAAGCCATGTTGGGGGTGGGGGGACGGGTCCCAATTCAATTCAGAGGTATGGCCAGCTCTCCAGTGTTTAACCTATGCTGATGGAAAGTCACCAACATTCTGGAGTCAAGTCCATCTCACCAACTACGGTTAGAATTGTAAGGGTTCCACTTTCTCCTTCCTATCTCTAAAACTATTCCTGCATATGTACACAAGCACAGAAGGTCCAGACACTCAACTATTTAGTCTTGAAAATATTAGCAATCAACTCCGACATGCCCCTTTCGGTGTTTCTTCATCTTTAAACTAGGACCAGTACCACCTGGGTTGTCGTGCAATCTAAATAAGACAAAATATGTGAGACAAACCCTAGAACCTTCAGGTCAGAGAAAGGTCCCAAGTCAGGAAAGAGCATTCAGCCAGAACATGGAAGACAGGGGTGAATAGGCACTCACATTCACCTCTTAAGGAGATCCTCATCCACCCCCGAGGGCGGCTGATCACCACCATATGCCAACCTGGGCAGTTTGGAGTCTGCAAAGGGACAAGAAGAAAGGGCCTATCAGTAACACCCAGGAAAAATGAAGATATTGTGGTCATCCAGGAAAGGAGTTCAAGAGTGCACTCCCATGGATGGACATGCCCCAGAGATGGACACATCCTTGATCCAGCCATTCGGGAGAGAGATAGCCAAAGGCCTTCCACTTCCTCATTCTACACCAGGACCTCTTGCTGCCTGGGATTGGCAGTAAGTAGAACTATTTGAATGCAGTGTTTCAAATCCATCCCTGCTCACTCTACAATTACTTGGAATCTAGGTTATCTACTAAACACAGGCCAGAAACAGCTAAGAGACTGCTTTATGCTTCATGCTGAAAGGACATCCTCCAGGGTCTGGGTTTGACAGGGAGGAGGGGAGGGGGGGAGGTTCTTTAAATCTTGTTTCCCTTAGTATCTATCCCATTCTATGAATTTCTAATCCTGAATGTGGCAAACACCCCCATTAATGGCATTTTATATATTATTTAACCTGGATCACCTCTAGTATCATTGGGTTCTTTAAGTGGTCATAAACTTGGAGATTTCTGAGCAAATCCAATTCACTCTACTCTCTTTACGCTTGGTGATACTCCAAAGGTTTTGTTCTTCTCCTTCCTCCAGCCTTTATCCTTCCCAAACCATCTCTCAGCCAAATTTCAACACTTTCTGTGGCCTTGGCCAAATGTCCTACACCTCCATCATAGGATTCTAAAGTGGCAGTAACTAGGACTGCATAAAATATTTTAGAACCAAGATTTGTGAAAGAATATGTGAGGATTTGCTATTTCATTTCCAAGACCTTTTAAAGCATGCTGAACTCACAGACTGGAGCACTCAACCCTTCAGAAAGCCATTTCCAAAAGTAATTATCCTATGAGTCCCACTTTCAGACTCCCTACAGAAGGATGGACACAGCAGTGCTCCAACCTGCAAAGAGGGCACAGCTAAATGCTCCATAGTAACATCTCAGATACTCAAATGAAAATAAAAAATAGAATACTTCTGACTAGTTCTTATTTTGACATTAATGCTCCCTATTCTTACTTATTTGCTTATAATAGCTTTAAGGTATAATTAATCCTATTTTTGCTTTTTATACAATTTTCCTATTTTATCACTACAAAAATAATACATCAATCCATTGTGGAAAATGTAGACTAATCTACACGCCAACCTTCCATGTACGAGCCTGCCCACGGTAATGCTCATTATTTAATATATATATGACTTTAGTCATTAGTAAAGTTGAGAATACCATTACATGTATATGATCATTTGTGTACATTTTCTATTAAAAACCTTTAAGAACTCTTTGTACATTAAGACTACCAATATGCTGTCATGTTATAATATTTCCCTAGTTTATTATTCATTCTTTTTTAAAATTTTCTTAAATATATTTATTAATTTATGTTTTATACAGATGTTCCACCTTTGTCCCCCACTGACACCCTCTTCTCAATCCCACCTACCTCCTCATCCCCCACAACATTGTTGTCTATGTCCATTGGTTATGCATATATGCATATAAGTTCTTTAGTTTATCTCTTCCCTCCCCCCACCAACCTCCTCTGAGGTTTGTCAGTCTATGTCTCTGGGTCTATTTTGTTCTGCTTATTTTGTTTATTATATTCCACAAATAGGTGAGATCATGTGATACTTCTCTTTCTCTGATTGGCTTATTTCACCTAGTATAACACTTTCCAAGACTCTCCATGTCGTCTCAAAGGATAAGAGATCCTTCTTTCTTATAGCTGCATAATGTTCCATTGTGTATATGTATCATAGCTTTTTCATCCACTCATCTATTGGTGGACACTTGGGCTGTTTCCAGATCTTAGCTATTGTAAATAGTGTTGCTATGAAAATAAGGGTACATATTTTCTTCCTGATTGGTGTTTCAGGCTTCTTGGGATATATTCCTAGAAATGTGGTCACTGGGTCAAATGGCAATTCAATTTTTAATATTTTGAGGAAACAACATATTGTTTTCCATAGTGGCTGCACCAGTCTGCATTCCCATGGTCAGTGTACTCGAGTCCCTTTTTCTTCATACTCTCACCAGCACTTGTTGTTTGATGATTTGTTGATGGCAGCCATTCTGGCAGGTGTGAGGTGATATCTGATAGTCATTTTAATTTGCCTCTCTCTGGTGATTAGTGACATTGAGCATTTTTTCATAAGTTTCTTGACCATTTGTATGTCCTTTTTAGAGAGCTGTCTATTTAGGTCCTCTGCCCATTTTTAATTGGGTTCTTTGCCTTCCTTTTGTTGAGCTGTATGAGTACTCTATATATTTGGAAATCAACCCCTTATCTGATGTATCATTGGCAATTATGTTCTCCCATATAGTGGGGTTCCCTTTCCATTTTGATGCTTGTTTCTTTTGCTGTGCAGAAACTTTTTAGTTTGATGTAGTCCCATGTATTCATTTTTTTCATTTGTTTCTCTTGACTGAGGTGTTGTACCAGTGAAAATTCTGCTGTATGTGATGTCTGAAATTTTGTTGCCTAAATTTTCTTCTAAGATTTTTATGGATTTGTGAGTCACATTTAAGTCTTTTATCCATTTTATTCTTCATTCTTCATTTATTTTTTCTAAACTGTCTCTAATTTCTTATAGTTATATTACCCACTTTTCTTCATAATTTAGGATTTCTTCACTTGATGTAATGCTTAGAAAGTCAACTTATTGTACTTTTATATACCGCTGTACTTTTCTGGCTGCCATTCTTATCTTTAAATCTTACATTGCCTCTGACATTTATTTTGAGGTATGGTGTAACATAGAAATTAATTTTAACTTATTTTTCTAATTTATTCTATCACTAAAATGAAAGCAAATATTGATTTTAAAAGTAAAAAAATTTTAAATTAGTCAACTTCAAAACAGTCCATTTATGCTCAGAATTCTATTTTTTCAGAATTCAGAAATTCAAAAGTCACACTCATTTAAACAGCAAAATGCTTTGTAATAGTTAAAACCAAATGACAAATGAGAGCCACAATTCTTGCTTCTTAAACTACTGAAACTTACCAAAATTGAAGTAAGTACTTCCTTTATCTTGCAAAGCTGAAATTGATGTGTGAATAACACATTGTAGCAATTTTTGCATTTTTCATTACTTCTCCCTCTCACCACTTAATTCCCTGGGTTAATTTAGACCCACTTCAACTCATCAGTTAGCTAGAGAGAGCCTGGAGCTAGCCCTTTTGATAAAGGTCTTGTGTGAGTTTTGAGAACCTCACTCAGCCCCTTCACTAATAGAATATTCAAAAATATCTTGAGGTGGGTCCAAATCCAGGAAGTGATATGCACTAAAGCTCAGGAAGCCCTGAGGGCAGACAATACAGGGGAAGGAGTATAGCAGGCCTGGCCAGGACCCTAGTCATAAGGATGAGCCAGAGCTCCCTAGCCACTGTGTGGAGGTCTCCAAGACTGGCCCCTAAGCATGACCCTGACACCTCTCCTTCACTTCTACTTTATTTTTTCTTTCTATTTATTTTTGTTACAAGTGTTTCTCCTTTTTTTCCCCATTAATACTTCCCGCTCCATCCCCACAACCCTGTCACCGGATTCATTATCCATGTCCTTTAGTTATGGTATATGCATATAAGTTCTGTGGTTTATCGCATCCCTCCCCCCACCACCACCTCTTCTGAGGGTTGTGAGTCTATACCATACTTCCACATCTCTGGGTCTATCCTATTACGAAGACTGTCATGTTCATTATATTCCACAAATAAGTGAGATCATGTGGTATTTGTCTTTTCCTGCTTGTTTCACTGAGGATAATACTTTCCAGGTCCCTCCATGTTGTGTAAAAGGATAAAACATCTTTCTATATTACAGCTGCATAGTACTCCTTCTGTACATGTACCACAGCTTTTTTATCCATTTGTCTACAGATGGAGACTTGGGCTGTTTACACATCGTAGCAATTGTAAATAGTGCTGCTATAAACATGGGTGTACATATATTCTTTCTGATTGGTGTTTCTGGCTTCTTAAGGTATATTCCTAGAAGTGGGATCACTGGGTCAAATGGAAGTTCAATTTTTAATTTTTTGAGGAAACACAACAGTGTTTTCCATAGTGGTTGCACCAGTCTGCATTCTCACCAACAGTGTACTAGAGTCCCCTTTTCTCCACACCCTTCCCAACAATTGTTGCTTGATTTGTTGATGGCGGCCATTCTCACAGGTGTGAAGTGATACCTCACTGTTGTTTTAATTTGCATCTCTCTGATGATTACTGATGTTAAGCATTTCTTCATATGTCTCTTGGCCATTTGTATGTCCTGTTTGCAGAGGTATCTATTTATCTCCTCTGTCCATTTTTTTAATTGGGTTGTCTTCCTTTTGTTGAGTTGTATGAGCATTCTATATAATTTTGGAAATTAACCCCTTAACTGATGTGTTATCGGCAATGATGCTCTCCCATACAGTGGGTTACTTTTCCATTTTGATGGTTGTTTCGTTTGCTCTGCAGAAGATTTTTAGTTTCACGCAGTCCCAGGTGTTTATTTCTTCCTTTGTTTCTGTTGCCTTAGGTGATGTATCAGTGAAAATTCTGTTTCATATGATGTCTGAAATTTTGTTGCCTACATTTTCTTCTAGGATTTTTATGGATTCACGGGTCACATTTAAGTCTTTTATCCATTTTGAGTTTATTTTTTGTGTATGGTGTAAGTTGATGGTCTAGTTTCATTTTTTTGCATGTAGCTGTCAAATTTTCTCAACACCATTTATTAAAGAGGCTGTATTTACTGCATTGTAAGCTTTTGCCTCCTTTATCAAATATTAATTGAGCATAATGTCTTCGGTCCATGTCTGGGTTCTCTGTTCTGTTCCACTGGTCTATATGCCTGTCCTTGTGCCATTAAAAGACTGTTTTGATTACAGTAGCTTTGTAGTATAACCTGATATCTGGTATTGTGATCCCACCTACTTTGTCCTTCTTTTTCAAGATTGCTGTGGCTATTCGGAATCTTTT